GTTTTCTTCAAGCGAGCGCCCACAACACTTCTTGTTTTCCTTTTTTCCTCCTTACGCTTAAAGTTCTAGAGTAGTTAGCACCAATACGACCTCATTTTACTGTGTTGAACGGCCGTCTCAATAAAGCACACTGGTGAGCTTTAGAATAGATCTCTAAGAAGTTAAGTTTGTTGATATGATTATAGCTGTATTATATCTACTTTTAAATTATATCTCCATACGTGCGTTTAAGTATATTAAAATAACTAATATTAAGAGGCTAAAGTAGATGGGATAAATAAGTAGGTATATAAATAAATATAATCTTATTTTTAGTACAGGATTGGTTGAATTTAGGTGTTAAATAACTACTGTAACTATTAAGAACTAGGAGACTATATTTACTTACTAATTTATCTCTAATCAAGGAAATGAAGTATTTTTGAAGTTATTAAAGTCTAATTTTATTAGTGGTCCAACTATTATCACTAACTTTAAATCTCTAGGTAGGAGAAATGGATTGACCTTTATACTATACTTTTAGATATATTTTATCTTTAAAGATTAGAATCAAAGGTAGAATCTTTTTATTAGAATAAATATATTTAATTGCAGTAACCCATTCCCGATTCTCTAATTAAACTAGGGACGGCTGATCTGCTCTCTAGAAATTAGTTATTACTTTATATATAATAATTATTTCCATAATAAATTCTGTTTCATCGAAATTATATATATTATCTAATGAGATCCCGTACTCTTAAATAACTTTTTATACGCGTTTGAACCAATCTTTTATAATTTTAGAATCCTCTATTTTAGCTCTTTGATAGTTGAGTTGTCTAGTAAATTGAGTTTATAGGGATTCATGGCGTTTAACAAAGCTATAAACTTAGTTAATACCTACTTGTTCAACGGTTAAATAACCTCATTTAGAGATAATCAAATTAGCTATATCTCTGATATTAAGTGGCTGGGGGCTTGCTCCTTGCTTATCTAGAGATAGGATCTATTTAATAAGTAATTCTTCTTCATTATTTAATAATTTTTAACGTGTGTTGGTTATATCTTTAGCGAAAATACGTCTAGATAATCGAGTCTGGAGAGTAGTTCGAGCGATATTATAAATATGTGCTATTTCATGAATACTAGTGATTTAATTTTTCTAAATAACTTTAATGGCAAGAAGAATTCTGTCTTCCTGCTCCACCTGCGATTTTGATGGAATAGATGCTTTTGGTGGCATTTGTGGTGGTTGAAAAGCCTCGGGTAGGTGATTCAAGGTGGTGTTTTCGAAGGGGTGGCCCGCCTGACCGTGTGGCCCGCCCGACCGTTGATTACGTTATGAACAATTAACTATACTGCATTGGAGGAATTTGAGCAATGGAGTAAGTAGTTGTCGGGTGTTCACTTGCTCAATATTGGCTGCCGAGATAGTAAGGATAAGCAGACACTGGAAACTAGCACATATTGGTTAGCATTATAAGATATTCCCTGAAAGGGCTCGCTATCCTACGTTCCTCACGGCTATCTTGATCCGGTGCAACTCCGAGTCCGAGTCACTGCAGGAGTAAGCAGCCAATAATTGATGAGGCGTTCCGAACTGGCCAATTCTGATGTGTAATCAGAGCGTTACCTTCCACGTGACATTATGCTCAAGCCCATCGTGAATTACGTCATATCTTCAGCCAAAGTGATTGACATTATCTCGCAGGCTCATATCACAATTTTAAAACATCTTGTCTTGCAAAACCCACTGTGGCAGTTCGTTTACGAAATGTCATCGTTATATGAAAGATGTTATTCGTGTGGTCGGGAAACAGGAGGATCGCTATTCTGTTCGTCATATTGTCGTTCGATCTCCACAGACCCTTCATGCATGCCGCATGATCGTCAGGCACCTTCTACTTGCGACCCGTACGCCACCTCATACTGCAGAGGATCCTCCCGCGGAGCAGATTTTCCACTTTGAAAAACAGTCTCGGCACGGCAACAAGTCCTATGATCCGACCAAAAATGCTACTCGTCAGAGTGGTTGCGGATCGATTCCCTGCGATATTCAAAATAATATGAACGACTACATTTCATCCTTTAACCCAAGGTCTCACCACAGCGTGTTGGATATCCCTTTAACAAAGAAATGCAGTGACACAAGCTTAGAAAGCCTAAGCCCTTGATGCTACGGCAGCCTTTTGCGGTGTTATATCACCACTAGATCTGTATGGCCAACGAAAAATCAAGGGAGACAGACTTATCAGTTCCAAAAATAAAATAAGATCAACCACCCTACAATATTCTGTCACGTGCCATGACAGGGAGAATAGCAACAGACACACTAGTTATATTAGACTTTACCAACGACATTGACAGGTACTTCTTCAATTCATCGCAGTGCGCTTATTGATAAGAAACGATTATTGGTCTCATATTGTTTTCGCGGCCTTGAGCTTGTGGGCTGCCGTCGAGTCGTCCTCATCAGTAGCAGGATTGAAGTCAAAACCCTTGGCTGTTATTTGTATCGGTCGTGGATAGTATGTTTCCTATTTAGTATTAGTTCCCGTTCCAACAGCATTCATACTAAAAACGTACTAGTTGCGAGGAAAGGCCCGACCAGAATCCTGTCGAATCGGATAGAAAGGTAGTGACTTGGCTAGACTCTCGAATACGAATACCCAGGCAGACGTCAGCATCACACAGCTTGCTATATTCGTAGGCCTGTCGTATGAGGTTCTTTTTACGCTGGTCTCGTTTCTGTCGCATCATCTTCTTGGGTGAGGTGGGGGACTTAGGTGACTTCTGCTTGTTTGATTCCTTCGACGTTGTACAAAATTTCGCGAGTTACTGTAGTGTATAGGTAGTCCTCTTCTTATCTCATCTCAAATTACAGACCCTCGTAGTGTTTATTTATATTTGACTACTAGGCGTTTAGGTAGTCTATTAGGTTCTTCACTATTACTAAGGAATATCCGAAGTAGTTCAACAGGTTCAACTATGGCACCAGATATGCAGTTATTCTGTCGCGAGAGCATTGCTTGTGTTGAACACGGCTAGAGTGCAACGGATGTTGAACTCAAAGATTAGGTTGCTGTAATGTTATTAGTGGTGTGTCGAGAAGACTCATGGATGATTGTGTTCAGCTGGCCTTGCCCGACTACTGTACTGTCCCATCCTCTGTCCAAGCCGCAGTCTCCTTGGTTCATGCTGTTCCCTCAGATCAGGGTTGACTGTGTTGTGCTGCGTCCGATATTGGAAACTGCGGAAGTTGAGCTACAAAATACACTATACTTAATTAAGATTTAACGGACGGTTGTGAAGTTGAGCTACAAAATACACTATACTTAATTAAGATTTAACGGACGGTTGTGAAGTTGATATACGGTAAGGGAAATATGAATTGATTTTATTCGGGCTTGCCCGTATCTAATTTTGCTAGCAACTCGTTCTTGGGGATCTTGTTATCCTACTTGTTCCGTGGTTGCTTGAAGGTTGATATAATATGGCTGTAGGAAATACTGTTAAGCTGTCCAATTGGCCGTAGCTTGTTTAGGTTGATATGGTTGTAATCTGTATCGGTGGTACCTTCCTTAATCTAGAAATGAGTGGCCTTGATGAGGAAGGTAGTAGTAAGGCTCATTCCAGGTTGTTGATGATTGGTAAATTCTTTAATGTTGATTACTTTGTCTTTGATATTAAAGACTGACTCCTCCACGCGCGAAGGTTTTATAGTTGTTGATGGCGCCTTGTAAGATCCGAGACCTCCTACTCTGATACACTGTAAGGTGTATCAATAGAAGTAGTGTTGATGGCTTTGATTATATTTTTAGAGATAGTGTTAATGATATATTCTCTAGTCTCTTTCAAGTTGTGGTATGTGTCCTTAACGCGTCCTAGACGCGATGAGAATCCTATAATAAATATTGGTGGGTTATGGTTGATGACTTGAAAGTAGCTGAAGGGTGAAAGGTTCTTCTGTTTTTCGGAATTGACGGTGCTTAGGAAGCTGATTGGTCGGGGTGCAATGCCCGAGAGTAGTAAGCGATAGTTGTTGATTGTTGGCTGATCTGGTGTATAGGGATTGATTTTATGATGCTTTTGAGTAAGATTTATTTTATTATCGGGCATACCCTCCCTATACTTCCAGTTAGGGTAAGGGGATTTAGTGATCTCAATAGGCTTGTCTTTGTTGAAATCTGGGTGTGTGGCTTCAGTCTCTGTAAATTGCTGATATTTTGGAAAATCTTGTAGTTTTTCTTAGCTGCCGCAGTATGACTCTCAGTAGCGGTGGCAGGAGACGCAAATGAGCTTATTCAGAAGGGTTTAATAATTGATTATGAATCCGGGATTCCCGAATGAGACACTGAGATCTAAGACAATGAAACACATAAGAGGCAATTTGGCTCACTATAGGCCTTATTGACTAGATAGTCAAGGTCATACTGCCAAGTATCTAGCTGAAGATTCCAATAGAGCGTGTCAATTCTTCCAGCTGTGCTCCGTTTCCTACCTCATACTCTACTTTAAATTTGTCCAGGTCTTCGGGCTATATTTGCTACGCCAGCAAATCATCTGATCAGACCACTTGGCCAGTTCTGAATAGATTAATCCGGAATGTTACCATTTTATCAGTCCGAGAAGATTATCCAGCCTTTCGGACTCCAAGAGTCTAGCAAGATTTACATAATCCGAAAAGAATATCGTAGTCTGGAAAGATAACCCAGTCTTTCTGCCCATGAAAGCCTAAATGGATTGGAATAATCCAAGTGGACTCTTCTTGCCTGAAAAGATAATTAGTTTACAGAGACTCTACATTTCTGGAGGGGCTATGGTAGTCTGCTAAGACTTTCATCGTTTTGGGAAGACAATCCAGTTCTTTTGGACCATATTAGTCTAGGTAGATGTAGGTTATCTGGTGGGAACACCTTGGTTTGCTAATAATCATATTAGTATGAGAGAATAGCCCAGTCTCTCTGGGCTCCAGGAGATACTGACCTGGGTTCATGGGAAAATTGAAGCTGTACGCAAGAGAAATAGAGTTTGGCCAGACAGAACGCTGAGTTCATTGGTTGATTTGGGTACAGTGGGATGCACCTCCTCTTTCCCGTCAGAAGACTCAGAAGACTTTTCCTGAACCCTAGCGCGCCAAGTTGCGCTAAGTCGATACTCATTTAAAGCGTTATATTCTTTGTTTCGAACCGGAATCATATAATATTAGACCGGTCGCTTCGCGCTATTACTGAAACAAGTTACGTGATGGCAACAAGTATGATGTCATTCTTTGTCTTCATGCAGTAACTTTATAGCGGCGCGCATTTGAGTGACTAACCTTCCACAGCCCAATAATCAAACTATATTCTTAAGACGTTGAACACATTATCCTACTCCACCCCAGGAGTATCTGCAATGCGGAAAACATACTTCATAGCACTTGCTCTCCCGTCCTTCAAATCTCTTAATGCTTCTTCAACCCCTTCGAGACCCCCTGGCCTGATTTCGAAAGGATGACCAGAGAGACTCCCATTTTGAAGTGCTCTAGATAAGTAGCGGGAAATGACGTATCCGAGCTCTTCATTGTTTTCGAATTCAGGCTGGTTGTGAACTGAACCTACCGAGGTAACGGATTTAGTCGCGGGAGCCACATCAAAGTCGTTAGGCAATATAAAATCAACTTGTCCACCAGGAGCAACGACTTTCCTTAGAACCTCTGCACTTTGAGGAACGATGGCAGCGTCAATGGCGTGCCAGACAGAAGTATGGCCAGCTTTTTCGAGACTGCTGAATATACCTTTTGCAGTTGCCTCTACTCCTTGACGGTAGTCGACTATTGTGTCACCTTTGCTCCGATCGATAAGACTTTCCACGTAGTAAGATCCTTTCCCTGCAACAGCAATAATGGGATGAACGTTGCTATTGCATGCTAGTTTAATAGCGTAAGAGCCGACCGCCCCACTCGCACCATAAACGATCAGTGGGATTGGTTTCAGTGCAGGAGCCCATGGCGATGGCAGCCGGTGATGTGCGTATAAGGATACAGCAGCAGTTAAAGCTGCTAGGGGAATCGTCGCGGCCTCTGTTATATGTTAGTCACCATATAATTACAAGATATCCGCTAGTCGCACCTTCAAAGCTTACGTCATTTGGTAAATGAAAAGTGGTGTGACTCCAAGAGATTGCATATTCTGCATAGGAACCACCTGGTGTGCACATCTCGTGAAATGCTGCGACACGATCACCTGGCTAGAGGACGGATTTAGAGGACGGGTTTGAGGGAATGTGTGAATGTCAACAATTGGACACCAGCTGTACTTACCTTGAACTCAAGAACATTAGAGCCAACTTTTTCGACGATTCCTGCAATATCGTCTCCTTGATTTAACCCGGCCTTGGCTGCTTGGAACATAGCCATGCTAGAGTCCCCAGCTGCTGCTATATCCGGGATTTTCCAGTCTTTGGGATTCGATCCGGAGACTATAACCTTGATAAGAATCTGGTCATCGTTTGGTTCGGGAATCGGACTGTCCACGATCTTTACAACCGGTCCAGCAAGGTTAATGGCTTCTTTCATAGTGCGGAAATGACAAGTGTAGTGAATGTAGAAAAGCAGGCAGAAAGACTGTTGGCATTGATATCCAGGGTATAGCTTCGAGGAAACGTATCTAATATTGTAGCAGTCTTGATTTACCATTAATAATCATTGTCATTGAATCACCATTAATAATCCTCAAGACATTGTTCATCTCTAACTGGTTTAGTTAACACTAACTATTTGCTGATTAAGCGGCCCGGTGTTTTATGACTAAAGCATTCAGTGGCCAAGGTGAGCAAGAGTGATTACTAAGGCCCTTATCTGGAGTATCCGCGGTCATCCCACCCGGTAATCCCACGCTGATGACGTCCTCAAAATTTGGGGTGGTGCTCTTGTCACACTTATTTGACATCAGTGTCTTTGTTTCGACTCTGCAGACTCACCCACCGTCCGTCCCTGCCCCTCAAAAGAGATTTCGTGTCTAACAATAATATGGCTTCTCCTAAGGTATTCCTGTAGGTCACACCACTTGGCAAGCTTAAGAAGGGATCTGATCGTCTTTCCAGGACTGGTGCTTCAGGATATATTGGAGGCGATGCTCTTTACGCAATCGCCAATGCCCATTCTGACTGGCAGCTGTCGGCTTTGATCCGCAACAAGGACAAGGCAGAGCAGGTCAAGGCCCAGTACCCAAACATCCGGATTATTCACGGTGATCTGGATTCCTCGGATATCATCATAGAAGAGGTCAAAAATGCTGACATAGTGTTTCGTCAGTTTGCAATCCAGGGATTTATTTCGTGGAGTAGCAACTAATTGTATTCTCCAGACTTCGCCGACCGTGATCACGTTGCAGCGGCCCAAGCAATTTCCAAAGGCGCTGAGAACCACACAGCTGAGCGCCCTCTTTGGCTGATTCATACCTCTGGCTCTGCCATTCTGACCGTCGAGGACCGACGTGCTCACACTTACGGCATTGAGCGCCCCAAGCAGTACAACGACTGGGAGGGCGTCAATGAGCTTATCAACCTGCCTGATGATGCTTATCACCGCAACGTCGAAAAGATTATTCTTGATACTGGTAAGCGTCATCCATCCAGTGTCCGCACCGCGATTGTCTGCCCCCCTACTATCTATGGCGCCAGCCGTAGTTCTGCAAAACCAAGAGTGTACAGGCCTACTGGCTGAGTGCTGCGGTTCTCAAGCGCGGTAAGGGCTTTCTCGTCGGTAAGGGCGAAAATATTTGGCATCAGGTGCATGTCCAGGATTTGAGCGACGTATACGAGGCCCTGGGTGCCGCAGCCGCGGCTGGGGGCGGCAAGGCCACTTGGAACGACGAAGGTTACTACTTCGTTGAGAATGGTGCTTTCGTCTGGGGTGATATCCAGCGAAAGATTGCTGAAGAGGCTTATGCTCAAAAATTCATTCAATCTCCCGAGGTTGATTCCTTGGACGATGTCCAGATCACCGATATCCATCCTGCTGGGTGGTACGCCTGGGGCTCCAACTCGCGTGGCCACGCCATCCGTGCCCGTAAGCTATTCGGCTGGGATCCGAAGCGGCCTAGCCTGATTGAATTGATCCCGGATATTGTTGCATTGGAGGCTAAGGATCTTGGCCTGATATAGGAGGTCTTGTATGAAGATGACGAGGTAGTCAAAGGACATTTCGCCGATATAGAATGAAAATTGGATGAAGACCATCCTAATATATGGGATCAATTCTGCTTTTCCTTGATTTACAGTACGATCCCATTTTAGGGAAACCCAAAATCGAAATTTAACATTTTCTATCTATAGCAGTAGTTGCATACATGGGCATAGACCCCGCGTAAGTCACGAAAATCAAGCTTTAACGATTTACTCTATCCACAGTCAAAGTGGCAACATCGTCAATAATAGAATCGATCGGCTTGAATAAATCAGCATCGAGTAGGCAGCGAATGCAGAATAGGGAACAAGTGAACATTAACGCTAAATGGGGCAAACCTCGGGAAGGCCGTTGAATGTCAGGCTCGATAACTTAGCCTGCGCCAGATAAATGCCCCAGCAAAAGCATTTCCATGTTTCCGGTTGTATGAAGATAAAGGATCTGCATACGAGACTGCCACATTTGTGGGACCCCCTAGTTGACGATTCTATGAGTTGCTGTAATGGCTTGCACAACCCCATTTGAAGTGAAGGAATGAAGGAAGATGCCAACAGATGGCATTAGGAGTATAATACGAAGTATTACAACGGCCATTGCCTCATATTTGATTGGTCAGCCTGGTTTATTTTCAAGGAAATACATGCTAAACTGAAGCCTTATGCAATACCCCTCCAGCTCCAGGGATTTTGAGGCGCCTAACAACAGAAGCATCTACTAATTTTCAGGCTATGAGCTATCTCCTAACGTAAGCGTCGAAGTTTAGATGACCGTGAAAATATAACCCCCAAGAAGCTAGTAACTTTCAGAAGACTAAGCTAGCCGTGTACCAGTCTGCTGCATTGCGAGCGGTCGGTGTAAATGAATAGTACTACTGCTACTACTGACATATCCAACTGTGACTCTTTTGCTGGAATTTATCCTGCGGCTATGGATTGATTCGGCTATGGATCAGATAGACTCAATAGATTGGGGATTGAATTCTTCGATATACTCCTGGTGCGATATATCCGTTTCGATCCCTAGAACCGCTGCTTTTCCAACTTCTGGTCCCTTCATTCTTCTAATAGAGTCTTCAGGCTATCAGCAGGTGTCCGTTTGGGAGCAGCAAGCTTCAGAATCTCCTTGCTGGTTGTAGAAATCGAGCACTTTCCTTCCCACGCTGTCTCTGGGGCCCGCTTGATTGAGTAGATGACGTTCTTCGATTGCTTGGTAGCCGCATATTGGTCCTCATACAGCATGTCGATGAAAGAGACGTCTTTGTAACTAACGTCTTTGACGGGCGCACCAATGTATTGCTCAACCATGTCGACAATCTGCTTTCCATTTATATCCTCGGGTCCATTAAGAACGTATTTAGCCTGGTTGTGCACTGAAGTGTCATCTTGAGACAAGAGATGAGCTGCAATAACACCAACTTCGTCAGGGTCGATTGTTCCAACAGATGCATCCTCTGACAGCAACAGACGAAGGATGCTCTGCTTTCCAGTCTTGCGATACCCTTTAATAAACTCCGCAGCAGGGGCCATGATAAGTGGCGAGAAGACGTTGGGCTGAAGAGACGTCCATTGCAAGTTGCTAAACTCCGGTGAGCCCAGGAGAGACTCGATGGCCCAGTGTTGGCGTGCATAGTAGGCAGGGCAGTCTGGCCGCACATTCGCAGCCGTAGTCGAGATACGCACAACATACTTGACGCCAGCATCGAGGGCATTGAGATAGAAAGTTGACTCCTCGGCAAATTGGTTAGGCCCATTATGAGATGCAATAAAGGCTCTGGCAACGTGGTGCTCCCGGAGCCAGTCAGCAGTAATATCAACCCAGTTTTGCTCAATAACCTCGACCCCGGGCAGCTTGGCGAGTTTTTGTGCAACTGGACTATTGGAGGAACGAGTCAGAGCAATAATGCGATTCCCGAGTAAAGTGCTGCTTGATTGAAGCAGCTTTGGCAACGTTTGAGTGACTGCTCGACCGGTATTACCAGTGGCGCCGACGATAAGAATGGAAGGAAGAGTCATGGTCTCTGAAATCTAGGATATATGTTTCCCGCTTGGTATGCGCAAATATTGGACACTGTATTGGATACTTATACCTGGCGATCGTCTTGATTATTTATCAAACGTAGTCCGGGCAGAAGGCATTAATAATTGGTATGAAGTCATGATTCGCAGACTCCTTATTCTGTGGCGAAAGACAGCCGGTCTGCCGCCGGCCACCCGCCAGCATCCCACGGAAGAAGTTGTGGGGTCTACACATGATTGTGCCGTTCCAATAATTCTTCGCTAGCTATTGCTGCGAGAGGAAGCGCCGTCTCATACCCAATTCATTTGCCCTTCAATGACCCCTACGCGACTCGAGCATAAAGCACGTCAGAGTATATGCCAGCTTTCCTACCACTCAGAAAAAATGGTAACACGCCGATGGGACGCCGATGGGACGCCGATGGGACGCCGATGGGACGCCGATGGGATGCCGGTGGGATGCCGGTGGGACACCGGCTTAAGACGGGCGGTGAGAGATCGCTCTGCAGTCTTATCACCCACGCGAAGCTCAGTCAAGCATTCAATTTCAAGGCATTTTCTGTGTGGATGTCGGGGCAAGTTTCATCAAGGACGTATTTGGCACCGACCGAGGTCGAGTTCCTTCAATGCTCTTCGGAAACTTCCTCATACTATACGTTTCGGTGTCAATTTCCTGGCTGCAACGCTAGATACCGACGCAAAGCGCACCTGAACCGGCACCAAAGATGTCACACAAGTCAGCAGGCTTTTTTTTGTTCCAACTGCGGGCGCGGGTTTCAACGGAGGTATTCCCATCTTATACACAGCCGCTTACAACGTCAAGTCTAACCATAGAATTTTTGAACTTAGTGACACCCTTCGACGTCACATACGAAAGCAGCACAAAATAATAGAACCTCTGAACCGCGCGCGTCAAGCGTGTGTGTGTTGCCATGCAGGGAAGACTCGGTGTGAAGGGGGCATACCATGTGAAGAGTGTGTTCGTCGCAATGTTCAATGTTCTTTCCAAGAGCACGCCAGTATTCCAGAAGAGCAACCAACCGGATCATCTATGCCACTCTCGCCATCTTTAAACCATAGAGAGTCACGGTCATATTACTGGGAGAAGAGGAAAAGGTGGATTAATTGTTATTTTGAGATCTTTCATCCGCGCTGGCCTCTCATTCATAGAGGATCCTTCAATGTGCAGCAGGAGAACCCGACACTTTTACAATCAATGATGGCTATAGGTATGTGGACATCAGGAGAACAGTCTGCTCAGTCGGCGGCAGTGGAGCTTTATAATAAACTTGACTTCGCTATACGAGACCAAAGGGTAGGTCAGATCACCAACCTCATAATGTACCTGATCTACTAACGTGGATGTTATAGCAAAATTGGGATGCTTCAGAAGTAGAGGAAGCCTGTAGCTCCTGCTTCTGGCCAATTGCCACATACCAGGCTATTCTACTGCATGTTATTCTCTCTATTATCATGAAGGCTGATGGGGTTGTTAACCTCGACCTCAAAGCATCTATTTCCGCTACTGATTTAGCGTTGCTTAAATCACTTGTCGGAAGCTGCCGAAAACTGGGCATGTTCTTTTACCCGAACATGCTCGCCAGGTATAAGGAAGCTGACCTACCCTCATTTGCCTGGGTTGGTATTGAGGAACTCAAACGGTTTAGCATGGCCCTTTACAAGCTTTGTGCAAAAGCAAGCAGCTTTAGCACAGATAACAGCCCTCTGCTGCACGCGAGAGAACTTCAATTCCCACTGCCAAGCAACGATCCCTTGTGGAATTCCGTTAAAAGAGATGAGTGGGAAGCCAATGCAAGGGACGAAACAATTTCCTTGAAAGATAACTTACAAACAAAGTGGATTTCAAATTCTGCCGATGTATTGAATTTTCTTGGCTCATAAACCATGGCCCTATAATCAGCAATGAACCAAGCACTGGTGCTACGCCCTCTATAGCTTTCACAAATAACCCTGATAACAAGCTTAAAATTCACCTATCTGTGCACAAGACAAGCAAGCACAGCGCTCACCAACTATCAACTCCCAATTATCAAAGAAGTTCGGATATTGATCTTCGTGTATCTACTTGAGGTCTATGTTATTTGTCAAGATATTGTTATAGGTCTTTTTGACTATCTTCATATATCTACATATCTACATGTAATAACACTGCGAGTCTGCTAGGCAGCACGCGCCAGGAGCATTTTTATGGGGTTTTTGATTTTGCTCTTTGGAAGATCGAGATTTCCTGTCCTTGGCGGCTTGGCCACGGAGTCTGTTGATGCCCCACCTCAGAATGGGATCAGAGGCAGAAGACTGAATGGGATTGGGCACCCGTGTTGTCACATGTTTACTCCAGGCGCTTGGCGTTGAGGGCTAGATTAAAGCCCCACTCTCAAAATCCAGCACAAGGCAGAAAGTTGACCAGATTCTCTGTCTCGCCCGTTACAGGTCCTGATAGGAGGCTGTGGGTAAGATAGGACTGTGGGCAGGAGAGAACTGTGGGCGGCAGAAAACTGCGGGCAAGAGAAGACTGCGGTTAAGAGAAAACTGGGGGCAGCAGAAAACTGTTGAGTATCATGGTGGCTGAACCTTATGGCAGGGTTTGGGAACGGATATATATATGAGGCGTCCCGCCCCTGTAAAAGATAACTCCTCAAGTCAATCAATTAACGAGATTAATCACTGTCACTTCTTCCGGTTGAGAATAATTAGTCTTTTGAATAACCAAATAGGGTCTTTTCCCCAATCGTGATAGACAGTGTAGCAGCTATTGCCTGTGGCCCTGCTATCCTTGGCCGGGAGGGGCCTACTACCATGAAGGGGGCCTAATGGATATGCACTGTTGTTTGTAGATAATTATGAACACTGATCACCCGTGCCGCGTGCTCACCCAGAGTGAGCCCGCCAGTAACATGTTTGGATAGAATAGGTGATCGTGAACTGGTACACCGTGCGTCGGCGTTTGAGACCAATACTAGTAAGGTACTTCATCCCTGACCTCCGGCCATTTTAAGACTGACGAAATCAATTTGAAGGGATTAAACGTTTAATTGTGTTTGTCCAACGGCTTGAGAATTCCGCGCTGAATCGCACCTATTTTAGGGGGGTTGACCACTCTGGTTGAACACCTTTTGAGAATGGGGCATTTGATTGTTGATTCTTACCACTCATCGTTCATGTGGGGCGACTGATAACGTAACCGGCAAGCGAGTCGGCCAGGTAAGCCAGTCGGCCACCTGTGTATCCCATACTAATCCAGCAATTTTTAAGCTGTAATACTACAGCCAAACTTCATAAATTCAGGTTTATCTGATAGAATTGGTATATTAGAATATATCTAAGCTTAGTATATAAATCTTACAAAATAAATAATAATATATGTTTGAGTAAAATATATTACACTGTATTTTTTTAGTAATTTATTTTAACCTAGTATTATATACAATATAAGTCCTATTATATTATATATCTTTGATATTTAGTTTCTTGAAGTATATATATAGCTTCAGCTAATCTATTATTATAATTGAGCCAACGGTGGCTGAGGTATTGGGGTTTGATAAATGTTAGATTAGTATAGGATACAGAGGTGGCCGACTGGCTTACCTGGCCGACTCGCTTGCCGGTTACGTTAAGCGGGTCTGCTCCCTGGTTAACGATGTGGACTCCTGCCCTCGGACTAGCTGACTCAGCAAGCGATCGGTTTGGCGCTAGTTATTCAACCTGGCGGAGGCAAACAGCCAGACAGCACACTTGTTCTCCATCAGAGGCAAACAGCCAGACAGCACACTTGTTCTCCATCAGAGGCAAAATGCGCAGTGGGTATTTCGCATGAGGCTTACTTGCTTAGACATTGAAAACCGGCTCGGTATGTGATGCAGGTCTTCGAAGATCTGCCTCTTGAGCTACCGGTTACACCCCGCTGACTCCCTCGCTCTCACTAGCGGAAGCCAAGTTTGGTGGTTCTTGCTGGCTATCAGCAAGTGGCTGGCTTCAGCTGAGCTGCCTCAAATCTGTGCTTTGTACTGGCTGCGAGGAACGGGGTTCCATTGTCTTGAGCTGAACTCCCAGCTGTCTCCAGAACCATGACCTCCAGACTCACTCATGGTCCGTAACTCCTGTGCTCATGTAGACGCAGCCTGGTCCTGACTTCTGCATATGACGTTCTTGATCCTCGAGAAGCCGGGCAACAATGCTATGGTAATGGCCAAGCTCGCGGCCTAGCACAGAAATCTCGTTCAGAACTGTTTCTGAAGGTTAGACATGAGTAGATTGTCAGCTTCAGGACATCTTTGACCTCTCCCTAATTTGTCCCTCATGTTGGAGAGCTCCTCTCGCGTCCTCTTGATCGCCTCTAACTCCTGTTGGCAATCATCGCTTCCTGGCCTTGGGGAAAAGAATCGCCATGGCCGGCCGGACCTAATTAACTGATGGTCAATTTCCGGAAGATCAACGTGGAATCGCCAATCACAAGATTGGCTGAACCATCATATCCGGGGCGCGCAGCGAGTACAAGAGTAGTCCAGGTAATTTGGGGTCCGCTGACAACCACTGGTTTGTTCGTCGTGAAAAAGTGTCTCTAAATTTTTGCTCAATCGCGTGCTAAATGGCGCGTCACCACGACCGAGAGCAATACTGGAGCCAGAACTGAGCACGGAGTGATATTCTTCCAGCCTATTCGAGATCTCGTTTAAGGCGCGATCGGCGAGCTCATAAGAGCGTAAATCCTCGTTGCGTCAGGGGTCTGCAAAGTTAATCGCTTCATCCTCCTGCAAATCTGCTTAGTGTTTTGTACAGGCCTGTGGCTGGTAGCTGTGGCTTCCCAATCGATGATATGCACTTTTTCAGTCCTGTTCACGATATCCGATATAAGATTTCTGAGACATAATATGCACGTTCAGCAACAGCTGAGAAATGTTTTGGCTAGTTCAACCCAAAATGTTTTAGCTGGCTTCTTACGTGAAGCGGACGCGACAACGATAACTAGTTACGGTTAGTTAGGTACTCATTTAAGCTGGGGTCCATGTCGATCATGAGTCATCGAGCTACCTGAGGCCGAACGCTGCAAATCGGCATGCAGAGGTCAACTGACATTTCCGTAAGAGCTAGACGACCTTAACCCCTTGCTCGTGACTTCCATATCCATGAGTAAGGGACTATCAAAAATCAATCCAACGTTTGCCCTGGACTAGGAGCCTGGGCAAAGGTGGTCGGAGTTAAGCGAAAGGCTTAAGTCCAGTCACGTCCAACTAGAGACATCTTCACTAGCTTTTCTCTTTAACCGCCTAAACACCCAACTATTTCCAACATAAAGACAAAGCTATCCTTCCTGTTACTGACGAGGCTTCATAGATCTAGCATTAAAATCACAGACGGAGACCCTTTAGCAAGCTGTTGGTGAAATGTTGGTAGGGTTCTTTCCTATTACGAAAAATTGCAGCGGGAAAGAGCAAGGAGAAACCTGTGCCAACGAGTTGACCGGATGACCAGCTGATGGCGTTCCCAGACCGCCCTTTTGAAGGGAAGGGAAACAGATGACTTAAAAGGCCGCATGTCCTGCACGGCAGGAGGAGGAGAAAGATGGGAAGACGGCCAAAGATGGTGTCAAGTGCTAGTTGGTCGGTTCAACAGAGAATTCTGCCGTACCCTTTTAGAAGCGTACAGCTCGAGGTAGGCGTTTAGACAGGGAGTCCAGAAGTTTTGGGTTTCTACGTGGCCTGACAATTACTCCCGCAGACTGTCTGGGTGAAATGTCCTTATTGGCCTCACCCGTCACAATTTGTTGAAGACTTGGGGCTTTTCGACGTAGTCCTGGTAGTCGTGCCACTTGATGATGACTGTCCCTCCATTGGAAATGTCGCTCTAGCGGTTCTGCCCGGGGGGCTAGAGCGAGTTCATGCCGTGCTCGGTTCACCTCTTCATCCACCATTCAGCAGAGAAAACATCGCCTGGTGGGATACTTCGTGCAGGAGAAGGATAACGGATCTGGCCACACACATTTATGGCAGCTTCTGCAAATGGTGGGTGATCAATGAGTTGTGGTACATGGATTATGGATTGAATGCTGAAGTGCGTGCGTGGTTTCTTAAAAATATGGTAGAAGCCCAAAAATCCTCACGCAGATATTTCCATACTTCATCTACTAGCTGAAGCGAGTTTCAGTCCCAAAGCAAACGGTTTCGCTCCTTCTTTTGAAGGACACCAGGAACACTGTAGACGTTTTTTGTACAGTAAAGAATATCGAGAGGATTTCTTCGGTTATTGAAATGTGTATCCAGATTGCTGCTGCAGTGCTCCGCCAGTTCTCTGAGCGGATGGAATAGTGTATTTTATATGTTCTCCAACTTCCGTACGAAAGCTGCGGCCCAGAGAGTTCAAAAGACGCCAGGCTAAAGATAATATAGGGTCAATGAGAAGGTAACACAGATCCTGATCGTAATCGCAGCTGACTAATTTCACTATTACCTTTCTTGTGAGACATTTGTCCCGTTCTTCAAACATTCTAGCGACTGCTACAACATCACGCGACCAAAGTCACACGAAATGAATATCCGTCTGCTGGATCGGTACCGGATTTTAAAGTCTGATATGCTCTGTCCCATTCAACTTAGGCTTCATGTCTTGGCACCTTTTGCACTAAGCATGTTGACTCATGAATCCCTCTTGCTGCCACTTCAGTGCACCACATTCATCAGAGGCCGGTTTAATTTCAAATGTCCGGGCAGGCATCACGAGAATATATCGCATCTCATTGTTGGCAAGGGCGTGACTGATGAGTTTGCTCGGTCCCTGCTCAAACGGGCGATATGCGGCCGGGTCTGGACAAAGTTCGTGGCCTCCACCATCCAGCCACCGCTCGGGGATACTCTCATCCACTCGCAGCTACACCCGTGCATTGCGGCGAGTCGGTTGCTGTAAGACGGTGACGCTTATATCGTCCATCAAAGGATATTCATTACCACGCCTATCGGTCCGCGACAGGCAATCACAGCCTTGACGCATAGTTCCTGCAGGCGGATAGAGCCGAAAAGTGTCTTTGATCACTGCCATGGTATATGAGCATTGGTTGAGCAGGGCCGGCTGTTCGCAGAGGAGCTGCGCTACAGCAGAAGGATCTGGTCCAAAAATCCGGTCATGTTCCTGCCGGACGTGAGCCAAGGCTTCAAGATGTTTAGATAGTAGGTGGTACACGTAGGTGGTACTACTCGACGTTGTATCTGTCCCAGCGAAGAGAAACAACCGAAGCTGGTAGGTTAGACATTCTGCGAAGTGGCCGTCTAACTTGGCGGCCTTTGGGATCTCTTCCTCTTGGGTCTCTAGGTATGCCTCGAAAGCCAAAGTGATGATGGATTTAGCCCGCTTGGAACGAGAGGATGGTTCTAGTTCTGCTTGCTCCATTTCTGTCTGCCAAAAGCCTCCTAGAGGGACAAAAATATATATATGAACGTTACCCCGACTGCTCACACGAAATCTCGAAGTTGTAGATGTCTTGTTTTCTTGTGATGTTGGACTCTGCTCTGCTCTCCTATTGTTGGATGTGAATTGTTCCGAGGACCCATAATGAGAGAATAACGTCCACCTTTGGCTGTGCCGACAATTTTGGGCTTGTTGATGCGGTCTTCGTCAACAGACGTAAGCTGGTTGACAATGTCCCAGCAGTACTGATGGCTTACCGAGACACAGAATATTTTGGTAAAGACGGTGAACACTGAGGAATCTGGCGGTGGTAGTAGCCGAATACAAGCGGCTGATAGGTATAGAAGGACTCCTGCCCCTAGGTTGGATTTTAACAGATGGTATGTTATCACGGCCTCATGGCGGAGGAGGTGTATTAGAGTTAATGTTTGGGATCTGATTCTGCACGATCTCAATTCAGCATGCGGACTTAACGTCATCAGTGAGAGATGTACTTACGTTTCCATGAGTAGGAACTAAATTGAATCAGAGTCAGAGTAAACTACCAATACTAGTGTATCTGCAACGCGCTTGCGGGATATGCTTGCTATCTTGGATAGGGACTGTCATTATGCCAAGCAGCTTTATATAGAACCGCAATGAGTGACTTCTCGGGAGTCATCCAAGTCGTTACCTGAGCCCGCTTGGCCGGTTCTAAATTATACGACATAACCAATCGGAATGACAATAGAAGGATTCAGAAAGCTTGTTCGGAGTTTGGTTATCAAGAGCTTATAGACAATGTCTTGGTAAGCGGGACGCCTAAAACATCTGTGCCACTGCTTATTTCTGGATGATTGACTGCCAATCGTAGCTTAGCGCTAACTGCCTTACATAGTTATTGTCAGCTTATTCCCTAGTCAGTTCGGGAAAACAATATATATCTTATTCTTGTTCTGCTTCTACCAGTCCGTGCACTGTCCCGATTGTGTGATACCCGATAGTCAGCCATTTGCCGGATAGTCTGGTCTTCGTCTCAGCCGCGGTTCTTCTTCGCCGAACTCGACGGTGGTTAATGGAGTTATTCATAGACGCCGTTCTGTTTGGTCCTGAGCTACCCACGTTTTCTGTGAATGTTTCATTGCATACAGTGGCGGCGCAGGACGTCTGGCCGCCGGGTGATAATCTTACTGATAAACATGAAAACCTGTCTTTGCTTCCGTCGTCTCTCCCTCCCAATCATCGTGCCTCGTGTATCTACTGAAGGCGGTTTGAGCTGTCGTTTCAACAACATATTCTGCTTGACCTGAGTAATACCTCCTTCCAGCTATTTCACTCACTCGGTATGGTGGACTAATTGGTCTGCGCTTTATCTGACGTTGTCGGTGGCCTACTATTTTCAATAACGCAATCTTACTGCATAGACAGTATACTCCCTTTAGTTGATCATGAGCCACTAGCGAAATTGCCGCATGTATTTCGTATTCTGCCTATATAATGTAGAGATAAGATTAGTGACCTGGCAGTAACGAGGCCGATGCACTTGGTCTAAGTAAAGGTCTTTGTTGTAGCCGCCAAACCAGATCTGTAGTAACATCGGACGGGTAGGGTCGAGGAATCTCATCGTTATGCGAGTGTCGTCCTGGCCTACAGTTGGTGGGCGGTCCATGACGCCTAAGAAGCATGGGCATAAGAACAGGGTAGAAATTCTCCAGGGCAGAAAGAGTAACTAGATAGATTAAGGACCTACGAGGACAAGGTGGACGGAGTGCTCATGTAATGAGATAGTCGTCGGCGGCAATTAGGATTGACATGTTGGATAACGGAAACTTTCTATCCGTACACATTGCCAGGCTCGGTGTTCGGCCAACGCGTGCTCTCCGGAAAACCCTGTTTGTATTCTAGCTCCACACCAGTTTCTGGCTCAGGGAGTCTAATATATATTAGCGGCAACGCATGATTGGCTATTGGAACTACATTACGCTATGGGGATAGTAAGAATTAGGAGTTTTCTTCTCGATCCTGAGGGCCAAGGAAAACCAGCCCTCAGAAGCAATAAATCTCAATTTAGTTAAGCAGGACAACCATATAGGATTTCGGAAGCTCTCGGGGGTTGTAGCAAGCAGTCTTTTAGTGTATGTAGTTGAATGGCAATTGCTCACGCTTAATATGGCTAATGGAAGCATCTGGACGGCCAGAGGAATCTTTTGAGAACATATTGATGGAGATATGTTGATTGTCTTTCACCCTCTTGGACGAGAAGGGTAAATATATTCGGGCCCTGAGCTGAAGTCAAGGGCAGGCTCTTTGACTACATTAACCTCGGATACCAGGGGAAGGGAGGGGTTGCTTGAAAACATTCATGGGCGCAGGAATCACACTCGCCGCGACTCTCAGCACTAGTATAGCTACTGGTTGCAAATACGTGGAAAGCAGAAGAACGTTGCTCCAATTTAAACTTCCGCGCCTTCGGAGGTACCCACCACCCCATGACCGAAGGCCGAAGGTTGACGCAACGGTGTGATGTGTAGCATACAATCACAATATGGTCAACTTATTGGATACATATCATAAATTGGACCATGCAAAGACACCAAGGCCTTCCATTTGATGCCCAACCTTCATTTGGCCGATTCGCAGCCCTCTAACCCCGCGCTTCTCGCAACCTCAGCCTAACTTCAGTTGGAGCGCACGTAAGCGTCATTCGGTATCCTGTCTTCTTGTTCTCTTGGGCTGCCGTGACTTTGTCGAACCTTTGCAACAATCGGACAACCACGTAACCCGCCTCTGTCAGTGCGAATTGCTGATCCAGGCAGATCCGTGGCCCTCCATTGGATGGAAGGTAGTCCCAGCCATACTTTTTGCCTAGCCACCGTTCTGGACGGAACACGTCTGCGTCATCACCCCAGAGCTCTTTCGACCTATGCATTACATGAACACTGTAATATACTTCGGTCCCTTTTGGCACGAAGACAGGAGCTTCCCCGTCAGGTCCTCCCCCGACGGGAATTGTAGTATCGATCGTTGCAGCTCGTTGGTTGATGGGCACAACAGCATACAGCCGAAGAGTTTCTTTGAGAGTCCACTGCAGATAGACACAATTCTTTAGCTTTTGGAAGGTGATCTCTCGAGGGTTGTCGTATGTGCCAAATTCAAGTAGCACAGTCTGACGCAGTCTGTCAAAAATTGCTTCGTTTTGAGAGAGCACTATCATGACCCAGGAAAGAAGAGATGCTGTTGTGTCGCGACCGGCAAGTAAGATATTGAGCAGTGCGTCCCGTAACTCGATAGGATTCTGAGTTTCCTCAGCAATCGCATTAAGAAAAACGTATCTTTCCTTTTCATTGTGGTCTAGCCGGGTGGCTTTTTCTTAAAAGGTCTTGTTTAGGCACCTTTCGACGTAATAGTCAACGAAGTCATGCACTTCTTGAACATTTTTTCGCAAGTCCGAGGTGTGTCCAAGTCTATACATCCTTCCCATGCGGCCAGAACGAAAAATGTCGTATTGCGCTTTGTCAAAAGCGCTGGAAAATCGATTCTCTCTCCTACCAAGCAGCGATTTGTTGGGAATGTCATTTGAGACAGCCTCACCGAGCTGGCTCATCACGCTTTCTCCAAAGAGAAACTCCGTAGCGGCATCGATAGTGAGTCGGAAAAAGAAGGGCTTTAGGTCGACAGCTGCAGTCCAACCTTCCGAGTCAATCTGCAAGGCTTTGATCATATTGATGACGTGCTTTTCCTCTAAGTTAAGGTCGTTGATTTGGTCGCGGGAAAATTGCGGACGAAGCATGGCGCGTGAATGCTCCCACTTCTTTCCATTGGAAGCAAACTAGATGTAATAATTAGATGTGTCACGTAATTTAGACTGGCGCGCTTACAATTCCATGTCCCAGCATGGGACGGAAGGATGCATTGCGCAATTCGCCCAGTTCAAACTCTTTGAACTGCGTCGCAAGTACTGCTTGGATGTTCCTTGGGTCGCATGTGAAAATGCTAGACCCCCCGCCCGTAGTGTTCCAAAACGTTGTAATGGGCCTATTCTCTCTCTTGCTCACATCGTTCACTCGTTGCACCAGGCATTCAGGAAACCGACTTTCACTTGCTGCCTTCATAGTCTCGTAGAAACTGTAAATTCCGAATGGGTCACCGGGCGTGTAAACGGGGATGGGCCCGCACCGCAGCCTTCGAGCTTTAGAACGTTGGCGATATTTGGCGAATGTGACATTGCCAAATTTGTACAGAATAAATGCTATTACTGTCCATACAATAACTAATTCAGTGGCCTTCATCTTGTAGCAGCTGTCAGAAATTTCTAAAAAAGTAGAGACAAGAAATGCTTCTGCTAAGGTTGTGTTTAAACCGAGAGAGGGTCATATATATATGGGAATCCTAAGTTTGACTTATAGGGACCTATAAGCTTGGCGATATATCTTTGTTTCGGAATCCTTAAATCCCGGAAAAGCGAAAAAAGGGACTTCTTCGCTCTTTCTGTCCCAATTTAATCTATATTGATTACCTTAAGTATGATATGGAACGGGACCACTGTACTCAGTGTTGCAAGGGACCCGAAGCACAAACCAGATGCCTAAACGATATATGCAATGGGTGTCCATTTCCGGTCCAGAAACCTCTTCATCTAAGTTTCTCGATTAGTGATCAAACCTCAACCTCGGCAAGGAGCCCAAAGGAGAGGAGCAAGCTGACCGATAAAGAAGCCTCTTGCCACATTTTTATCTTATTTTGCGGAGAGCTGTTAATCTCTCTAGGTTATACCCAGCCGCAACATCGTCGTGTATCATTCGGAGCAATGAATAACACCACGTTCAATATGATGTGTAAATCATTTTTTGTCCATTGATCTAATTCTAGTAAATATAGCCTATATTTTTCAAGTTAGATATTGGCTTCTATTGAAAAAAAGGAACAATATCAATATAGTCCAGAAAGAATATTTATAAGTGAAAGCAAGTAGCAGTTTTCTGCTACGCAACAAAGTCCGTCAACACATCTTTTTCTGCCAAAAATACCGCTTTGAAAGCTTCGGATTGACTGTATTTGATCCGCTGTTTTTCTTAGTCTTCTCGTGTAACTCCTGCATCGTTCTATCCAGCCGACAATGACCACTGTCAAGATAGCAGGTATCTCTAGCACGAATCTTGGGGGCCTTGAAGACATTGAACTATCGATCACAGATGTCAAGAAGCTTTCATCCTATAACTAGATAGGTTCTGTGACTCCTATAGTTATCCTGTGTCGTATTTTCCTCTCTGTGTAGGACAGATTGCGATGTAAGAACTCCGTAGCGACCATCAACAGTGGTTTCTGCGCATTTAATTCCCGGCAGAAGCTCTTTGAAGAACGCGACATGGTACAATTCGAGCTGAGGTTGGAGGCCAAACCTTAGGGAACTTGCTTCTGCCTATTCTGGAGGATGACTGCCCTCATCTCTTGGTATACACTCCAGTGGTCACAGCATGATAGCCTTTCTTGCCAACCCTAAGAGCTAGCTCACTCCTCCACTGCTCGCCACGCGCCACCCTTTCCAACGCTCTTCCAAATGTATATTTTGGAATCCACCCTAAATCCTTCACAGCCCTGCTGGAATCATAGACTCGATCAATCCTCGCAAGATGCTTCCACCCTTTCTTCCTGAAAATAGCGTCGACTTCAGGGAAAGCTTTTGTCATCACCTCAGCGGATTCCCGATTTAGAGCATCGAGCGTGCTTCTATCATTGTTGAAAGGCGGCGGAGCGCTTATGATATACCTCCCCCACCGGATATCCTTGGCCTTTCTCATTGAGCAAACTGCGGCGTTGACAATATCTTCAATGTCACATCTGCGGTAGGCAAGTTCCAAAACCTTCAAGTTGTCATCGCTCATGGCCGTACGTCGGTCTTCATCATCGTCTTCGTCTGGGAAGAAGCGACTTGTTCGAAGCACTAGAACGGGCATTCCGGTTTTCTTATGTACCAGATAGCACAGATCCTCGGCTGCAACCTTTGTCACGCCGTAGATATTCTTTGGCTCGGGTACAACAGCCTCATCGATCCAAGCGGCAGGGAAGCCGGGCTTCGGGCTTAAGGCCATACCAAAGGTGCTGGTTGTACTGAAGAAGGTAAAGCTCTCGATCCTATCCTTGCACTTAGAACATTCTTCAAGAAGGATCAGAGTGCCCATAACGTTGGTTGAGACGAACTCCTCCTCCTTATGGCTGCATATGTGCGGCTTATGCAATGTTGCCGTATGAAGAACATGTTTGATGGGGTTGTTGCGGAAAATAGATGCAATAAAAATGCGATCAGAGACAGAGCCCACGACTGTCGTGGTTGGAGATGACAGGATGTCGATGCCCACGGGGTTGTAGCCCATCGAAGGCAGGCAAAGCATTAAAGCCGTGCCCAGATGACCCGCTGAACCGGTGACGAGAACGTCATACATTGCAGTTATTTGGAAAGTGGTGGCACATAAAAAGTCTTTTGCGATGATTCAGTCCCATTTAGCGATGACTGATGCCAAATGAAAGCATTAAATACTTCCACGAGACTCGTTGTTTACACAGAAGGATATACTTTGATGCCAAATCGCCACAGGCGGGTGCTATCAAAGACTTGCTTATATGCGGGGGAATAAATGAGTCATGGAAGACCTGCATGCCGGCATTTCCCGATCGTTGATGTCAGACTTCCCCCCGGGTTATTAAACTTCCCCCCGGGTTATTAATTAAGACTCCTTTTGCATCGCTACATAGTTAAGGATCCCAAAAATGGGGCTATAAAAAGCTAATTTATGACCAAGGCGAATACTCTTCGGGGGCAGTCTATGCGTTGCTAGTCGTCATCCAACTCAGTCACTTCTGTGTCATTGATATCATTGTCTTCCTCGAAACACCGTTGGAGCGGGGCTCTGCGGGGAAGAATATTCTAAGGTGATGATAATACAGACCCATTGTTCCTCAATACCTTTTGTTATGGCTCAATCGGTGGGGTAGTAAGTTCCTACTTTTAACCTTTAAGCTTTTAGAGGTTAAGAGGTTTATTTAAATGATTTTTACTAAGCGACTTTATCTCGTCACTGGATGTTTATATCTCTGACTAAGCTTTTTAATCAATACTGTGTAGCTACTTGCAAGGGATAAAGTCTATCTGCTACTAGTATGTAATGAAACCTTAGAACAGTATAGCAAATTTAGAGATGTGCAACCTAAATGGGGTAGTATTAACCTTCAGAAGAGACCTGTTCCAATGAAATCAATTATGATCATTTCATGTTATTCTAGCTTTTCTGTTAGTCTTTACTCATATTCACAATGATATACATGGCATAGGAACCCTGAGCTCTCAGGTCAGCACATCACGAACAGCATCTTGTTGGGCTAAAAGCCATCGAGGGGACGTTTGGAATTTAGCCTAGATTTCCCACCAATACCTCCTGAACTGTACTTACGAATTGTGCCACTGGAGGACTATGTTTAAACCTGTCTAGTGGCCTTTGACCACAAACCTTCTTGCGGGCATATAATGGGGTTTAGCTCACATGGCAGAATGCTTCTCGCAATGGATGTTGCTCCATGGCCCTGTGCTAACAGCTACAGCGACGGGACCAGGCAAACGGCGCATTACTGGATCACCCACGAGTCCCCGCACGTCCCCGCACCTCTCCGCACCTCTCCGCACGTCCCTAAGCTTCTGGAGTGCATATTGCGCAGAAACAGTGGTTCAATGATACATCAGATCCCTTCGTCCGAGCGCTGTCGATAACATCGTGGGATAAAGACCGCGGGCGCCACAGTTCTGCAAGACAGCAGGGTTGCGGTGGCGGGCCTGAGCGACGAACGCGGCGCGTGGAGTTTTTTGGGGCTCGCCATGAAGTAGATCCTGCAGCCGGTGGCAGAGGAAGTGGAGCTACTCAAGGTGTTTGTAAATGGTAATGCGATGGAGACCTTGCAGGTCTCGACAACGTACAGCGTCAAGATGAGTTTGTTCTACTACGAGCCAGACGAAGGACATCTCGGGCTTCACTTATGATTCATCCATTAACTAGAAGTCGACTTCGAACAAGGCACGCCCTTTGTCTACCCATCGCGCGTATGGCTATGTTTGGGTCAGTGCCTTGTACTGGGGCCTCTACATGGCTGGGCGTATCTCCCCGGGAATTCAAACCTACCACTCCCCGGAATTGTACCTGCAGCGTGCATACCGTACAGCTGCTCTCGGCATTGATGCGGACACTGGATACTCGGGACGCAGGACTGAGGGGAGAATTGTTCTGGGGCAGTATGCCCCATGATCTGTGCACTAAGGGCACGTTCACTGAAGCCAACGAGCTGGAAAGTCAATTGCAAGCGCGCCAGATTGATTGGGCACAATCACCTGCCCCATTCGACAGCGAACAAGCATGGGACTGCACGGCCCAGGAAGGCGTGTACTGCAGGAGCCAGTGTTCCAACGATACGGTAACAACGCAGCACACGATCCAGTTGATCCACAGCTACGATCCGGCGATCTCCCGGGAATGTGCGGGTACTAGGGTTTCCTGACGGTGGGCCTCATTTCCTCAGTCATGACTGCGCCGCGGGAACGTACCTATTCCAGCACCCAGGATTCGGGTGGACGGCATTCGGCAGAAATCTCGGGAATGACAGATCTGGGTCAGTTGCCACAGTGCATCCTCGATTCACAGGGCGGAGGAGGTTCTTTGCAGCAAATATTGGGCTCTTTGCTCAGCCGGAGGGAGGGCAGATTGAGCGAGTGGCATGGGCGGCACAGACGCAGCAATTGACGATGGGCGCGATTCCAGACATTTCAGACATAAAACGTCATTCTGTACAGGTTCTGGGCAATGGCAAACGCATCGAGCTGGCTACGGGGGATTGGAGGAGTGGCGTGGTGGCCTTCTGATGGAGATCTCGCGCCATGGGGCGGCCACGTGGCAAGTGAGACATGTTGCGTAGTTTTGTTGGACGCGGAGTTTGAAAACGTTTGATGTCATGAAGCCTTGCGACATAAAACACTGAAGACCAAACGGAGATATATACAACTACCAATCATAGCTACAAGCACGCCTACAGATAACAAAAGCGCGAGAATTAGTAGGACCAGGGTTGGTTTACTACATAACCCCGTTAATGAAAGATGTAGATGGTTACGAACCGGGTTTGCCGATACATGAGGTTACATCATTCTAGTGCTCCACAGGCAATGGTAGAATTTAAGTTCCACTGAGAACCTTCCATGGATGCTTGACTGGCGAGGCATAACTTGGCGAGCTGACAATGAACCGCGGTTCGCTCCGTCCCCTAACACCGGTAAGTCCGCCGGCCCCAGGATAGTAATGCGGTATGACGCACAGCATATGTCACGTGTAATGTATTCCACGGTTGCGCGGCACAACCCTTCGTAAACACCACCTCCGATCTCCTACCGAGGCAATTCAAACATCACTTATGCTATAAAAAATGCCTATCTCATCAAAAGTGCTGGTGAAGAAAGAAGGAAAGATTTTTCTTGTCTTTCAAGCTATCCAGGAAGACCAAATTTTCAGTATTCACGAGGCAGCACGTGTTTACGATGTCCTTTAAATCATCCTTCACGCTTGTTTAGCAGGATGAGATTTCATTGAAGTTAAGGTTTATATACGTCCAAAATCATCGAAATATGAAGATGAATTGTTTTTTAAATAGATTTTCTCTCTAGATAAGTAAGACGCAAGTCCCCGGCCGTTTTAAGTTAGAATTATAGCCAGTATAATCTTCTCCAATCGAGATCATTTAACATCTGAAGAAGTAGGCATCAAATGGACGTCTGGCTTTTATTAAGGGTTATAAAGCTCTGTAACTATAATTTTATAGATAATATAATTACTAAAGAGCTAAACAGAAGATTTTGAAATTATAAAAGACTGGCTCATTCAAGTTCAAGAGGTTACTTAAGAGTATGGGATCTCACTAGACGATATATACAACTTTGATAAAATGGATTCTATTATAGAAATAATTGGGACTATAAATATACTAACTAGTTCCTAGAGCTGGTTGGCCAACTCAAAATTAACTAGGGAATTACGAACGGGTAATTTCAATTGAGTTTTTTAATTTAATGGAGAGGCTTTACCTCTGACTCTGATTTTTAGAGATAAAATATATCTTTAAGCATAGGATGAAGATTAATCCAAATCTCTCTACCTGCAGGATTGAGGTTAGCTATTATAGTTAAATTGTAGATATGATTATATTTGATAGCCTTAAAAAACTTCCGTTGATCAGGGATAGATCAGTGGGAAGATACAGCCTTCTAGTTCTTGATAACTATGACAGCCATCTAGTCCCCGAGTTTAACTGATTCTGTGCTGTAAATAAGGTTATTTTTATTTATATATCTACTTATTCGTCCTGTCTGTTTTAATCTCTTTATATTGGTTGTTTTAATACACCTAAACGCGTGTATAATAAAATAATTGAGAAATAAAAATACTGCAACCGGAACATTGTTGATGATAAACTTGACTTTCTAGGAGTCTATCCTAAAGTCCACTAACATGCTCTATTATGATTGAATGCTATCAGTGGGTTTAGAGAAATAGGTCTAGTTTCTTTATATTCTAGGAGTGTCTGATACTGAATATTTATTTGAAAATAATACTATCTTTGGATAGCTAGTTAAGTGGCTTACTACTCTAAACTTTATATAATATAAGGCATCTTAAGAGCATCAATACTGTGGAGTAACTGTTTTAAATCTTAAGTAAGCCTAATTTCACCTGTAGGATCTCTACTATGGCAGCTTCTTCTAGGTTACGAGCCTGCAATAATAGATATTAGTATATTTACTAAGAAAAATAAAGTATTATGTGCAAGTCATGAAAAGTAACTACAAAAGAAAAAATGCTTAAGAAATCTGGTGGTATATAAAGAAAAATAACTATTGAAAATACTTAGAGAGTTATATAACTAGATGAGAGGGTTTAAAATAAGTAAGATCTTATGGTTAAAGCTTAGTTTTAATCTATAAAAAAGCTCTTATGTGCGTCTCCATACTGCAGCAGCTTCTTTAATATTTATTAATAATATATATAATGCGCTAAACTACCTAGTAAATAAATATATGGTACATATATAAATGCATATTAATCTAAAGACTTTATTTTAATTATGTTAAGTAATTATACTAAAAGGAGTAGACCGCATAACTATAAAATATATTAATTAGAAAATTAAAGATAAATATAACTTATTTTTATAGATTTGTATATCCTGAATACATATCTTACTAAAATTCTTAGTGATAAAAGTAATATCTCTTATAGATACATAACTTATACTTTGTATTTTATAGGATGCGTATAAAGATTGCTAAGTCCTTATTAAAGTAGATATTTTTTATATAACTAGAGTATCATGCTTTATTAGGATGTTAATAAGATATGGAAGTAAAACTATAGAACCTAAATTAAAAAAAGTATTTTAAGAAAAATAGTATATTATAATCTAGATTAGTAGTATAAAGCTATATCTTGAGCTAAATACTAAATTTCTAATAAAAACTTAGATTCTTTAATCAGCCCTTATAAAGCTTATCTATATACTTTATAATATGCTGGATATACTGTCCATACTTATATATAAGTCTCTTATATATAATCTTTATTTATAACTATCTATAACAGAACATGGCACAACTTAATTAAATATCTTAATAATAGTTAATGATCACGAGCTTTGATGTCTTGAAGCTATACTTTAGTATTATAACTAGATAACTCAGTTTAGAAGTATCTTAACTTGTTAGTATTAATATTAAGTAACTATTAAGATCTTTACATATCGCAATTACTTTCTACTAGTAGAAATTGCGGTTTATAGTAATAATACCAATAACTTAATATTATATAAAGTTTTAGATATTAGTTTTTCTGGTATTAGTGATTTCTAGACCCAACTATCTCTATCATCTGGCTGCCTTCAGTAAGCTCTGCCGGCTCATTTCTTAGTCTTTCCTGCCTCGTTTGAGAAACAACTTAAGGAAACCATAGTAGTCCGACCGGCAAAACCCGGACAAATCACTGCCGCAACCAACAGAGAACCATCATAGACGACGTAAATATCTTAAATAATTCTTCGAGCTAATTTCAATCAGGTCACAATTGGATTATTTTTATCCTACACTTTCCTACTTTTGGGGAGAACCAGTCAGGTCTTATTCAATCAATTTTAATAGTTTTATACATATATTTCTAAAGCCTTCATGCCGTATCACTCTGCCCCAGGTTCGAATCAGCTGGAAGAAAGAACTTTGACGTAACGCAATAAGCATGGACCATAATAATGATTTGAAGCGGGACAAGTAACGCCTGATTTGGACTTAATGAGCTATGCAAAAGCCAGACCTGTTATTGTCTGGTTGTGAGGGGCTCAGGGATACAGGGACGAAGCGGTACAATCGGCTTTCTTAGTAGAGAAAAAATTAAGAAAGAGTATATGAGGCCCGTAGATATACAATATGAAAAATGTGAGGAGATGACTGGACGTCCAGTTTCGCCATACCTGACAAAGCTATGGTCTCTTGGGATTGAAAAGAGAGTATTAAGCATCTGGATAAGGGGAGACAAGTGTTGTTTCACCTAGAATACCCGAATTTGTTCGAACAAGCAAATATATCTATATCAAGGAATTGATATATTCAATATTCCACACTCATGGCTACAATATCCCCTGTCAATGTTCCTGCGATAGGAATATTTTAAGGAGTATAGTTGAAGTCCACCTGAGACCCTTATTCCAGGCTGATGTGAGTATTATAATAGACCTATCTGGTACAATACATTCCGAGGTCGAAGGACCATTATTCAGTGCCAGTTTAGTGTCTATCGACGTCGGAGAATTCCCACTGTTGCTGAAAATAAGACCTGAAGAGCATGAGGGGTGGCACCCAGGTTCAGGAATAATGCAGGAACACACTACTATGATAAAATCACTGTAGACACTCGTAATGTCTCAAGGCTGCTGATTATCTTGGTTCACTATCAAGGGTATATTAGGACAGCCCCAGGTGTACTTGACTGCATATTGGCGAAGCAGAGTAGTCCAAGCTGTAATTGAGATTCAATATTACTAACTCTACCATAAGAAATAGTAGTAAAAATATATCAAAGATATCTCTATGCACGATACAAGACACTTGATGGTTGCTCATAATGTAGTTGTTACATAAAAAAGCTGTCACTGTTGGTAGACATGAACACAGCAAACTCTCCGCGCTATACTGAAAAGGTTCAAACCTCATATCATAAAGTTGTCCACGACGAAGTTCAGGGAGACTTGTGATAAAACCGCATATGATTTGCAATTTCCCACCATTCATTCAATGGTTCATGGCAAGCAGGGTCTGGGCATCGAGTACACGCATAGTGTACACGCCTAATGTGGCGTCTAAAGCTGAAGTCGGATTTGAACGGCTTTTCTCGCACGCCGTATATTGAGCAGAACAGGCACTCCAGTGGTCGTATGGTAACACACTTGTTACCTAAGCCTGCTGCAGTCCACCCTGGAAGCCCCTCACTCGAATGGATAGCCCTCAGACGTGACGTAAGGTTGGGACCGATCTGTGACACTGCATCCACAGCTGCAATTCTGCAGTTTGTTTCGTCTTGTTCCGATGTTGGCGCGAAACGGAAAAGAATAACAATCGCTTTCCGTCTCTCCTGGGAGAGGGCAACATCGTCACATACGTTGTATGTTTCCAACGGAAGGCCATGAACTTGCCGAATTACATCCTGAACCGGTTGCTCCTCGTTAAACCGGGACCGCTTTTTCTCCTTCATCTCGCGACGAGAGGCCTGGAGTGCGGTATAATACCTCGTTCTTTGTTTCATTGCTTCCGCATACAAGGGTGTTCCTGCAGCGCTTGCAAGAGTACCATGTTTCCGCTGTATTTTCTGCTTGTATTTGAGCCAGCATTTCAAGCGACGTCTTACTGAGAGATTGGCTCTAGCTTCGATTTCCTCAGCTCCGCTAAGGTCAATGGGCCGTCGCCGGTCGATCGATCGACTTTGGCCACTGGCCATTCGAATGATCATGACCTGTGGCTTGAGTTGTCTCCAGGCGGCATTAAAGTCTACAGGTAGATAGTCAGGTCGGTAATTCTTCTGATATACCGATCCAGATGCATGTTGCAGTAGAAGGTTCTGTTGAGCCTCACTAATTTCGCCTGACGAAACGTTAGCCATGCCTCTTCCATGAAAAGTGTCTCAAACGCTTACAGCTGCTATTGGCCGCTTCCCCTGCGCCCCGCCGCAGCCAGTAGGGGGTGATAGGGAGGTCGAACCCGGTAATTTCGCCGAGTCGCTTCAGCCAACTGTTTAGTGTCCTGGCGGAGATATCGAAAAGATGTGCATCAGGGTCAGCCGGGTGAAGGGTGAGAGAACCAGCTGATTTAGACACTTGTAACGCATACAGCTGCCTGGCAGAACTGATATGAAGATGTCTAAAGGCAGACTTGCGTATCAACAGCCCGAGAAACAACGTCTTGGGACAGAACAACAAACAAGGCTCACTTGGGACTTCAGGAATACCTATTTCCAGGCTGTATCTGTTAAATTGAATGTTTGGGCACTTTGTACAGCAATTCGGAACATACCATGGCTTCTTTTTACCCCTATAGCCTTTAGTGTTGCGTGGTTTTACTTCCAGAACCATGTGGGGTCTCTCTCGGCCGGTAGGAAACAAGGTAATCGCTACGTCGGCATGCTTTAACGATACTAGTGCCCCGGGTCGTTGTCCGGTTATTCCCGCCAAAAGAATAATCAGAGCAAGCTGTACTGGGTCCCATGGCTCGGTTGCGGTTGTCCACAGCACCTTCAGTAATTCGAAAACATCTTCGGATCGCAGTATGGGCTTTTCCTTTGATTCTGTCCGAAGTTTATGCTTCTTCGTCAGTTGATCTCGGACCTATGTAGTCAGCCCTCTGTAAGGTGCGTGAAGCATGGATAAGGGACCTCATACCCCAACCATTCCATTTTTGACCTCTGAGGGAATTGTCAGAGCCGTCTTCTCTCTTCTGAGTTGCGTCCAAATGTTCCAGTACGTCTGCAAGGTTGATGCCGCCTTGATATACCGACGACGAGTGGTGACTGTGTAGTCAAAGAAGGTATGTAGTGTTTTTAAGCTTGGTGGATCAGCTTTCAGCAATTCCAGTGCATCACGCTTAGTTTCCGCGCAGAATCTGTAACCCACTTAGAGCCCTACGTCGATAATGCGCATCCGTATGTTCCTGCCGGCACCAGAGCTCCCACACTCTCTTCTGGAGACGAATCGTGTCATCGTCATATTGCCGCCTTTGAATAATGGAGTCGTCTAGGTCTCTCTCCTCTTGCAGCCAGTCACGTTGAGTACTTTGGCCCAGGTTCATGCAAAGCTCATGTTCTGGCGAATCACTTCTGTTATCGTCACTATCCGCACCTTCATAGGCTGGTTTATCTATCCCGATTTCCCGGTGCTTTTCAGGAATATCGTATCTCCTGTGATCACCATCGCTATATTGGTGGCGGTGCAGTTGCTCTCGGAACTGAGTCATCGTAGAGATGTCCACCTACCTCCTCTGTATGACTGAAACGCTAGGGGAGATTTAGAACGGCAGGCAAGCAAGTGAAAGAAAGGGAAGGGTAAGGTAGGAAATAATAGAGGAGGAGGGATAGAGAAGGATGCCCGAGGAAGGAGCAGGGTAGTCGAAGGTCAAGCAGGTGTCAATGGGGAATTTTTCAAGTGAAAGCCAAGGGCATGTGCATCATAAAATGGGAGGAAGGGAGCCCGGGGTAGATGTCTCATCGCCTGGTTGACTGAATTTTTCTCTGTCCTAAGAAGGCTGGAGTGAGCTTCTAGCTCTTTATATATCTTTATAACAAGCAGGAACATAACGCCTGGCCGGCCAGGCCAATACAGTAGGTTTTGCCACCCCCTGAAGAATCGATGTGTGGAATGCTGTATCACCGAGGAAGATTCGTATGGGTTCTGCGTATTTCAGCAGAGGGTGGAACGGTCGACATGAAATCCACGATGAATGGTGCCTCAGCTGGAGAACGCTGGTAGGCTCCACGTTACTTTGTCGGCTGAGGGCTCCTATCCACCCGCACGGTGTGGAACCGGGGTGGGCCGCCATGAGGATGATTCCAAGGTAACAATCGAAATAGAGTTGGAGCGTCGGTGTCGAAGGACCGTAAAAGCGGCATTGCAACAACCACAAAAGAGGCAGCTCTTTCACCGAAGTGTTGCTTTAAGATATAAAAATTAATAACTCTATTATTAGTTTAATAATAGAGTTTTTTATTTTTAACCTGGTCCAGGAATTTATGAATTTTATTAATATAATAAACCTTAGTCCAGACTAAAGTATGTTTAAAATATTATAATTTATAGATTATTAATATATTATTTTTTTAATAATAGAAGACTTACTTTTTCTAGTAATAACTAGTTTAGAAAATTTATAATAGAACGGATAGTTATTTAAAAATATAGAATAATTAATATTAATCTTATGTTTCTCTGATAACAGGAATATATATAAAATAAATAAAAAAAAATCTAGTTTATTGTGATAGGATCTACTTGTTAGGGTAGAAGGCCTATCAACTAGGTAAGGAACTGGCCACTAAACATATAGGATTCTATTGATAACAACAATGTAGCTTATATCCATAGAAGAAGATTAATCCTTCAAGGATTAGTAGCCTAATATTAAAAAATATTGCCTTATAATAGGTGAGGAAATCCCGAACTATTATTAATAATTTTATAACTTTTATAATCATCCCAGTACGTCACCCTAAGGGTCTAGATTATACTAGCTAGACTACTATAGAATTAGATTATTAGTTAGACTAGTACTAATAAGATAAGACCTCTATCTAGTTTATTCTATTATAATTATTCTTTTTTCTACTGAACCGAGCCTCCTGGCTCGGGAAGCTATATATAAATAATTTTATAATAAGAATATAATAAAAAATAGGAAATATATTTTAAAATAACTATTAATACATCTTTATAAAATAGAAAGAATATAAAGTACCATAATATATTTGTGTTTATTATTATTATTATTATAATTAGAATTAGTAAATAGCTTTATTCCTAACATGATAATAGCCTATTATAATACTAGTATTAATATTAATATTTCTTTTTCTTCTTCTCTATACTTCTTTTATTCTTCGTGATAACTTTTTTTATTTACTATTATAGTTTTTGTAGTAGTTGGCGTTTATATCATATTTCTATATTTTTTTATTACTATCTATCTAAAGATATAATTATAATACTTTATATTTATAGAACTATAAAGCAGCATACTACTTATAATTTAATAATTAAGTCTAAGTATTTTTTCTACATATACTACCTTTAATCTAATCTAAAAAAATATAAAACTATTATTAGTATCTTGTTTATTATTTATTATATTTTTAATAGTAAAGCTTCAATCCTTTATTAACACTATTATAAGGGGAATAAAAAATATGATTCTATAAGTATTTTATATATTAATATATTATTTATTTATTAATATAATTAGATATTGACAGGAATACTAAATAATATTTATAATCTAATAAATATTCTTTAGTAGCTTAACAAGCTACTAGAGATTAAAGATTAGAATAATAAATTATATATATATTTATATACTAGCAGTTTCAATCTTATAAAAACTTTTAAAAATATAGAGACTGTCCATACCATGGATCTTTATCTTAAGAATTTAAAAAAAAACATAAGTTAATAGACAGCTATTTTCTAGGATAATTTATTAACTAAATACTAGATAGATATCTATAGATACTAGTAATATCTAGCTATCTAATATAATATTATAACTTATTAATTTCTCTATCCTAGTGTCAACACAACGCGTATAGAGTTTTATTAATATAATAAATAAACTCTTTTATATCTACTACTGGGAGATATAGGCTTCATTATATAGATTATAATAATAATTATTTTATTTTAGAAAATCATGGATATAGTTTATAAGTACTTTCCTAATATTTTAGTATCCTTTAATAATGATTCAGAGGATAAAAAAGATAGAAAAGAGATAATAATAATCTAAAAAATTTAAATTATTTATAATAGTTTTTTTATATATATCCCTACTATTTAATAGATATATCAATACCTAATATTTATTAATACTTTAATATTAGTTCAGGAATATTACTAGCTGGATATATATAAATATCTCCTATTATCTTCTATAAGATAATATAATATATTTCTTAACATATTTAGCCCATAGTTAGGAGAATTAAGGAAAGATTATATAATTTAATATATCTATAAATATACATCTAATATAAGGATTATTTAGTAGTAACTTTCTATAATTTTATTAACTTTAATAGTCTTTAATACTTTTTTTAGTAATCTCTGATATATCTTTATATATTAACTATATTTTTACTAAAAATCTATTAATTATATTTACTAAATTATTCTTTCTATTTGATTAAATAGTAGTCTTAGCTATTATATTATTAGTAATTTTTAACTTTTTTAACTTTCTATTCTTCTTTATTATCTAGTTCTAGTATTGGTAGTATTTTTTTATAGTTTATACTAATATTCCACAGTTCTAATAATGAGATATAAAATATATTATAGATTTATTTATATTTCTTTAGTAAATATAGGCGATACACCTATAGTCTAATCTATTTTAAAATTTAAAAAAATTTTATAAACTTTAGGACTAGCTTTTATAATTCCTTAAATTATAGGTTCTAGATTAATAGTTTAACTAAATCTCTTTTTTTAAAATAGAATAGTTTTCTATATTTATTATAATATTTCTTTTATTTTTCTATAGTTATTTATTATATTTTTTGGAGTTATTCTCTTACTTATTTAAGTTTTTTAATTTTATCCTGTATAACTAGAATATTTTATTATTAAGAATTATTCTTAATTTTAATATAAAAGTCTGGTAAATAGCTATAGAAAACTTTATTAGATAGTTATCTAATAATTATATTATTTATATTATTATAAGTAAATTAAATAGTTAGTAATATTATAGTCTAATTTATAGAGAATTAAGTAAAATAGCACCTTAAATAATATTCTAAAATTTAGTTTATCCTTTCTATTTGGCCATCGGTTTATAAATAAAATATGGTAAAAAATCTTAAAATTATATAACTATTATAGCTTAAATCTAACTAAAACTTATTAGTGAATATTGAACCTTAATCAGATATAATCTTATTAGAAAGTCTAAATATTAGTTTAACTTGTTGATAGAAGAGTTCAGCTAGATTTAAAACTATTATAGTTAATAGAATAATAAAGAAAAAGTAGTATTTTAAGAATCAATTAATAATAATGAGGATAGAGTCAATAGTTTATTCATATTAGATAATTGAAGATAATCCTATAATAAAATCTATTACTAATTTTATAAAAAAATAGAAAGAAATTAGTAGTAATTTGAGATTATTATATAGTCAATACTTTAAAGCTATATTACTTTAATATATTAAATAAGTTTAAATATATTTAATTATATTCTTATATAATCCACTCCAGTGGAACTTTCTATATAATAAAATTTCTATTTAAGTCTTTCTAAAGTGTCCCGTTAACAGATTATTATAATATAAATGGATAAGCGTCTGATATAATATTTTAGAAAATAAAATATAAAAATAGTCTTTAAAGTAGATATAACTAGTAGTCTTAATAATCCAATATTTTTAACTTGATTATTTTTATTAAATGGTAACTTTTTACCATTATATCTCTAGATCTTTATTCTGTAAATATAAGATTATCTCTTAAAACTTGGAATTATATTTATCCGAGTATAGAATTTCTATAATATATATATATATTACTATAGATTAAAGAATAAATCTCTCTTAAAACAAGTTTTTTTAAGTAGTCTAGTCAGTTATTTTTATATCAGCTCGACTATTAGGGTCTTTTAAATTTAATATTATATAAATATTAAATCTAGGGTAACCCTGTACATCTCAAGGTTTAAATTAAGATTTTATATTTACTAAATCTCTAATTGTTAGAGATGACATACTTATAAAATATTCTTGAATTAGGATTAAAAGTTCTTTTTAAAAAATAGATTCTATTTAGGACCCAGCAGGCACTCTAGAGGATCTATTTATTAGATTTAATTTTTCTATTTTATATTTAATGATAAAATCAAAAGAAATTAGACTTATAAGTTATTAAGTTTACTTTTTATTAACTCTAGTCTAGCGCATGAATGATTGTAAGTTTAAATAATTAAATAAGATCTTAATTATTTAAAAAATTTTCTCGAGATATTATTACTATTATTTAAAAAAGTAAATAATAATGAATAATTCCTAATTTAAAGTATTATAATTTAATTTAATATTAGAAAACTTATAAGACTAAAAGATAACTAGATAGAATATATTCTTATTATTAGATTAGGATAGAATCTTACTTATTTTTTTTTAAATGCATCAGTTTTTAAATATTAAAGTTTTATAAGATTAAAATATATCAGTAAAAATATTTACTGAAAAATAATAATTAAATAGTAAAAAATTATTTATTTATATAAGTTTAGTTAGATTTTTCTAGATTTTTGTTTATTAACTGCTCCATGGAGTAAAGAGATAAGAGATAATATTATATAAAAATAATTTTAAATAAATTATTAATAAAAATTATAAAATCTTAAAAATATTTAGATATTATGATAACTTTTAAGTAATAGCTATAAAATAATGTTATTTATTCAGCGGGGATCCATGGATATACTATTAATATTAATAATATATTTTAAGAATTTAACTTAAGATTAGTAAAATAAATACTTTAATAATTTTATATAAAATTTAATCTCTCGGAGTCTTTCTAGAATTTAATAAATATATTTTATATAGGATTTCTTATCTAATAAAAAGATAAGAATATTATCTAGATAAATTATATAAAAGTCATCGAGAAGCCTATGGAATATAGTATATATATAATTTTAAAAAATTACTAGAGCATTAGTTAATCTAAATAGTATAATTATATATTTAAAATAATTGTATCGAGTATGAAATATTATTTTTTATTTATCTTTTTTTTTAATATGGATTCAGTAATAAGTATTTTTAATATTAATTTTTAAAAAGTATTTATTACTTAAAACCCTGTTAAGGATTTCCAAAATAAAGAATAAAAA